AAACGGTCACCTCATGATGCCCTAGAGGTTGAGCTGGGTGCTCCTGCTGGGTTGGAGAAGGTTCCACCTCCCCAGAAGGCAGCTCTGGAGGCTGAGCCGGTTGTTGTTCTTGCAGGGTTGCTGAAAATTGTATCTCTCCTGGAGGCTGAGCTGGGGTCTCTTGCTGGGTTGAAGATTCTGCCTCATTAGGGAGCTCTGCAGGCTGAGCTGAGGTCTCCTTCTGGGTTGAGGAAGATTCAGCTTCTCCAAACGGCTCTGGAAGCGGAGCTGGGGCCTCCTGCTGAGCTAGAGAATGTTCTGCCTCTTCAGGAATCTCTGGCGGCTGAGCTGGGATCTCCTGCTGAGTCAGAGAAAGTTCAGATTCCTCACTAGGCTCAGAAAGCAGAGCTGGTGGTTCCTGTACGCTTGGAGGCTTAGCTTCCTCAGGAGGCTCTGAAGGCTGAGCTGGGGTCTTCTGTTCAGTTAGAAAATGTTCAACCCCCCCACGAGACTGAGAAGGCTGAACTGGTTGCTCCTCACTTGAAATCTCAACCGCCTCTGGAGGCTTAGCTGAGGTCTCTTGCTGGGTTGCTTCCTCAGTATGCTCAGGAGGCTGAGGTGGAGCCTCCTGCTGGGCTGTAGAAGATTCAACCTCCTTAGCCGGCTCTGGAGTTATGGTAAGTTCCACATCCGCAGATTTATGTGTAACACTGGAAAACCTTAAATGAGTTAGATAGTGTCTTATAGGTTGACTTATCACCTCATCACTTACTGAAGTTTGAAGTAGATACTCCGTAGGAAACTCTGGAACTAGAGTTGGGGCCTCCTGCTGGACTGGACTAGGTCCAGCCTCCTCGGGGCGCTCTACAGGCTGAGCTAGGGTCTCCGGCTGGGCTGGGGTGGGCCCAGCCTCCTTGGGGTGCTCTGCAGGCGGAGCCGGGGCCTCCGGCTGGACTGGGGTGGGCCCAGCCTCCTCGGGGAGCTCTGCTGGCCAAGCCGGCACCTCCGGCTGGACTGGAGTGGGCCCAACCTCCTCGGGGAGCTCTAGTGGCTGAACTGGGGCCTCTAGCTGGACTAGTGTAGGCCCAGCCTCCTCGGGGCGCTCTACAGGCTGAGCTGGGGACTCTGGCTGGGTTGGAGAAGCCTGAGCCGCCTCGGTGCGCTCTGGAGGCTGAGTTGGAGTTACAGTAAGTACCAGATCCACAGGTTCAACAGTGACATTGGAGAAGTTTGGCCACTGAGCTTCTTTCTTACTTAGAGATGGCACATTCACCTCATGTGCTGTTGGTTGAGGTACCATCTCCTTAGATGGCTCTGGAGGTTGAGCTGGGGCCTCCTGAGGGGTCAAAGGTTCTACTTCCTCAGGGGCCTCTGTAGGTTGATCTGAGGCTTCCTGTTGGACTGAACGTTGGATCTCTTCAACGGTACTTGAAGGCTCAGCTGGGGCCTCCTGTGGGTTTACAGCTTCCTTAAGGATCTCTGGAGACGGCGATGGGGACCCCTGCTGAATTGGAGATGTTTCTATCTCTTCAGGGGGCTCTGGATGTTGGGCGTGGGCCTCCACCTGAGACAAGAAAGATTCAGCTTCCTCAGGCAACTCTAGATGATTTGGGGTCTCCTGCCGGAGTGGAGGAATTTCAACCTCCTCAGGGAGCTTTGGAGGTTGAGGCGTGGGCCTCCACCTGAGACAAGAAAGATTCAGCTTCCTCAGGCAACTCTAGATGATTTGGGGTCTCCTGCCGGAGTGGAGGAATTTCAACCTCCTCAGGGAGCTTTGGAGGTTGATCTGATCCCCCTGGGAAATCCATTGGCAGGTTCTCCTCAGGATATAGGATATCCATACTGGAATCTGAATCATCATCCTGCAACTCTTGTTCTAGGTGGTCTTTATTTGTAAATTGGTTTGGAGTTCCAACAACTTTGGCAAGCCTTTGATGCTGAGCTAGATCCTTCTCCAGGTTTGGGGGTGAAACAATGAACTTTGTTGGCTTTGAACTGTGACTATCCAGAGGCGGACCAAGTATTTCAAATGATTGGTGATCTTCAGCCTGATCTAGACCTACAGTTTTAATCTTACTTTTGAATCGAGGAGGCAGAGCTATGGTCTGATTCTGATCCCAACCTAGCCTTGGAACCACCTCTGGGAGCCTTTCAGAAAGCTGGGTTAGCTTGTCATTCAGATCCTGATCTGCCTCTGGGGGCAGCTCGCCAACTGAATCCGTGTCCGGAAACGGAACCAAGGTTTCAGTCAACTCCTTACGCAGGGCCAATATCTGGGCTGGAGCTGAGGACCCCAAGTAATGAAAGCCCCCCTGCTCTGCAGGGGGTGTAAGTACCTGGGGCGATTCGGGCGGGAATTTAGAGGAGTGCGAAGACCAGGGCCCAGTGGGCCCCAGGAGGTCGGAGGTCAGCTGGGCAGGGTCCAGGGCCCACTCCGCAGGCTGAGCTGCCTGGACCAGCAGCCACAATGACTGCCACGTGAGGAGGAGCAGCGGGACCCAGAGGCGCAGCCGGGACATGACACGCGGAGGCTCTGGGGCGCAGCGAACCAGGTCAGGGCCTCTAGCTCTAGCTGGACTGCAGTGGGCCCAGCCTCCTCCGGGCGCTCCGCAGAGTGAGCCGGCACCTCCGGCTGGGCTGGGCTAGGCCCTGCCTCCTCCGGGTGCTCCGCAGACTGAGTCGGCACCTCCGGCTGGGCTGGGATGGGCCCAGCTTCCTCGGGGAGTTTCCGTCGCGTGCGAGTGAGAGCCAAACTGTTATGGCAGCTTTGTGCTCGCTTCGGCAGCACATATACAAACTGTTATGGCAGCTCCGTGATGCGCGCACTGTTAGCAACTGCGCGCCCCTCCCCTGCCTACGTCCCGCCCTTTATTTATGACACCTTTATTAGCTGGGCACAGACGGGCACCGTGCCCCTCGGAGCAAGCCC